GTTCCACTGTTCTGGTTAAAAGTACCCAAAGATCCATAAGATTGATTTCATATTCACTATGGAATATCATGTCTTATGGCTCATTAAATAGATGTAAATTAGCCCTTTACATAGTCCAACAGTGTGAATCTTTTTACTTTGTGGTTTATTTTAGTATTAGCTGACTCATATTAGTGTTAGCTTGTTAGTGCTAGCCACAGCAGGGTTGTTTACGAAAGTTGTAATTCCACTTTCAACCGGTAGGGCGGAGGAAAGGGAAACGGCTCGATGTCACTTTAAAAGTTTAGATGAATCCTAATGCACCTTCACAACACAATGTTTAACATTTAAACAATTTTAAATATGACAAAACATCATTAGATTGTGTCACACACACGAATTTTGAAGAAAATAGCTTTTTTTATTTTTTGGTGTGGTCCAAATGAAGCAATTATCTCATGAATCAAAAATAAAAAACAGCTTCAGCTCTGCAAAAATCTAAAACACCAGAGGGCTCATCAAGTGTAGACGGCTGCTAGTCAGTGTGAAATAATTCAGTTACAGGAGTGATCTTGCAGATTGCACTTTCCTTCAGAGCCGATCTTTGTAGGCTGACCACTTTTAGAGAGCCGCAAAATGATCTTAAACACCCTTAAGCTGCTTACGGCATCGCTGGTGTTGAATTAGTGCAGTCTGAAGTCTCTGAAGTATTCTTACACTCAGATAAGCTTCAACAACTTATTTTCTGGGATCTCCGGTTTCCTCTACCATTCTACATTTACATAAGTGATCTGTGAAGCTCAGATTGTCACTGATGTCTGTTTCCTTTAATTAAAATGGGACACCCACTCAAAGTGTCTGACAACTGATTTAAATCACTTTTTTAATTTGAAATGAAATGCGGAGGTTGGATCTGATTTATTTTACTTGTGCTTATGAAGAAATCTGGGATCTTCGGGTTAAAATGTTGCCACTCCAGCGCATGAAGACGATGGTCATTAAAGCAGCAAAGCTGTTTAGGCAGCTTTACTGCCATGAGGGATGGATCTGACCTGGGCGATCTGATTGGTGCAGGGGAGGGCAAAGGGGAAGGAACATAATGGGGTTAGACGATAGTTAATGACCCCCAGAGGAGCGGGGGCTTCAGGAGGGAGAGACCCATCGATGGAGTGGGAGAGTGAAGCTGACCACACAGGGCAACACTGTCCACTTCAGTGGGTTGTAACTATGGTTTACGTTCTTCAGACTAACCGCTTTGGAAGTCCTCTAACATCTGCACAAAGGAGCCAAAACATTATGACTACCCCTTTTCTGAATAAATGTTTTTTATATGAGTTATCCCAACGTATCTGTAATTCAATCAATGTCACAAACGCCTCTGGTCTCTCAGCTTTACTCTATAGTTCACGGACTGCAAATTTAATTACAATATAGTTTTCCTGTAAGTGCACTCTTGAGTACGTTGCCTTAAACAGTATTTCTGTCATTTGCCGCTCTGTTTTAATGCGACTCAGCGCTTGAGTGGGGAAGATGCGATGCTTGAGACGCTGCAGAAAGAAAGGTCCAAGTTTTCTGTGTTGTGTTTGCAAGCGCTCCTGGAAAATTGTAGCCCTGCATGCTTTTAAGCTTCAGAAAAATGTTGAAATATTCATCGCTGAAGAAAATGGGAAGTTAAGTGCTTCGCAACCACAAAGTGGATGCACAAAAACTTGAGTCCTGGGGATTCCCGGGCCACTTTAACTCCTGGTTTTAGGACAACACACGGCTTGCTACACAACTCTGCAAAGTGTCATGTTTGTTTTGGGCACAAGGAAACTGGAAAAGTGCAAAACGCAGTGGAATGATGCGCAACATGGCTTAAGATTTTAAACGTGACCCTCGGCTGTTTGCTCTGGAAAAATCTCCAGGTTTTAGGCACACTTTGTAGGTTTTTTACCCTCAGATGAAAACTCGAGTCCCCCCGCCACCTTCATAGCCAGTTTGCTGCTTAATAATTTACTACAGTAGCAGACAAGTGGTCCATCCGTCTCACCACAGCTGTCGTCCCAGTGCTGCCCTTTACATTCCCAGACATTACTCCGGGAGCTGTATGTTGGGGAAAATGTTTGGTCCAATTATTTTGGACGTGTGTGCTTTATCCTGGCTGCTCCCTTAGGAGGTGAGTGTGATGTTTGATTGATCCCACCTGTGTGTTAAAGAACAAATGTCTGCAGCTGTTAGACTGTTATATGATGCCAATCAGTATGCCATTACCCCGGAGTTTTAGGGCCATCCTCTGGGCTGCAGCATTCATCTCACTCCTGCAGACCCTCTTCGCCCAAACCAAATTGAGTAATCCCTGCAATCTGCTGTCTGCTAAAAGTGTGAAACGACTATTCCTTGCAACTTATAACCTCGATTTTCCAGACGTGCAAAGAAATGAAAATAAAAAAAGACTCATGAGAGTGAATGTGGAGGAAGTCAAGAGCTTTCACCAATGAGTATGTAAATCATGAAGCTTTCGTAAATAAACACCTGCAGGATTGCTGGATTTTCATTTACCTTGAAATCTTTTAAAAGAAAAACAAACATGTTTCTGTTTAGAGCATCTCTTAAAAAGGAACCTCTAAACTAAAAGTGAGCCTCTTTGGTTCCCAACGACGGGGTCGGAACCCCGCTGTGGGTCATTAAGAGCTACACGGGGGGGGGGGGGGGGGGGGGGGGGGGGATGATTTTCACAAACAGCAATGAAATTGAAACACATAGCTAAAGCTTTATTTCTGGCATTATTGTTACAAAAACTCAAGTAAATTGTCATAAATGGATAAAAGTGAACATGAGCTGAACTATTTAGCTTTTTAAGAATGTTTGTATTGTTAAATCAGAGAAATCTGCAGTCACATGACTTGATATTTTCTGAGTCTGAAGCTGAAAAGTTTGCAAACTCCCGATCTACGTTATGATTTTATTAACAAATGCCATTTAATTATTGGTTAACTTGGTTAATTTACAGACAGTTTTCTTCCTATTATGAATAAAAACATTTTAAAAGCTTTTATTGTGAAATGCACTCACAGAAAGAATGTTTGATAAGGAAAAAAAACACTCTCCCTTACTTTCGCTCACTCAGCTGTTCTCAGCAGGGAGGCGGGCAGCTTGTGTGTGTCTCCAACAGTCATTGGGCGAGAGATGAGGGACAACCAGGACAGGTCTCTAGTCCATCTCAGGGACACAGAGATAAATACTCACTCACACCTTGGGACAATTTAAAGTCTCCAATTAATCAAAAACATTCGTATTTTTGGTCTTTGAGAGGAAACCGGAGAACCCGCAGAAAACCCACGAATGCACAGGGAGAGTGTGCTATTTCCACTCAGAAAGGCTGCACAGGTGAGATTTGAACCTGCAACCTTCTTTCTGCTTGGCAACAGTGACATAAAATGCTCTACCATGCAGCCAGGAAAAGTTCAAGAGTTTAGTTGAAAATTTCAATTAGTTAAAAGTTCCCTACCTACGAAAAACCAACAGATTGCATCAAGCAAGCATGTAGCGACAGTGGAGAGGAAAACTCCCCATTAACGGGAAGAAACCTCCATCAGAACCCGGATCAGGATGAGCAGCTGTCTGCCACGACCGCATGGCGATTTGAGAAGACCATGAGCTCCTCAACAGTGCAAATTGGTCGATAGCACTGTTGCTTCCTAGCTAGAAGGTTGCAGGTTTGGATCCCAGTTAGTCTGTTCTCCCCATGCATGGTCGGGTTAATTAACTGCAAGTATCTTTGGCTAAACCTCAGCTTAATAACCCTAAGCCTAAGGACAATGATCACTTGTATTCTATCTCGTTTTTATGATTACTTCTGAACATTCTGGGAGTAATTTTAGAATCTCTTTGAAACTTTGAGTCTTGTTCAAACAGCCGAGAGAGACTTCCTCTGCCTGGAGGCTCCGACGCTCAACTGTGTCACCATGTAAAATTTACATTTCCATCTCCGCCGCAGGGCTCCCGGAGCAGGAGCCCGGCCAGAAGAGGGACAGGAATTACAAAAGAGAGGAGGGGGAGTGATTTCAGGATATTTCATCACTTAGGCTGGAAGGCGTCTCGGAGATGTGCGTTGGGCGGAGGCGGGATGGAAAGGTGGGGTCAGAATCAGAGTTGGGTCCAACTTCCTGGTTAACCTCGCCTCGGCCTTGGCTTCAGGTATTTCCTGTGAAAGCAGGCAGGACTAACCCCCGCTTATCTTAGCAGCGGTGCTATGATTCAATTAAAGCTGTGACACAGAGGTGGGGACAATTGACGCTCCGCATTAGGGGAACACCCCGTCAAGATTAATTAGCTCTCATTGGCTGCTTAAACGGCTTTTAAATTATAATCTGCCTGAAATCGCAATAACACCATCAGTAATCGAACAAGAAAGGCAAAGCTCAGGGTCGCTCTCCGTCTGTGCCGGATTAATAACGGCTCATTAGTAACTGTATTAATTAAAACTTAAAGGAAAGTGAGCCTCTGATTAAACTGCATCTTGTTGTTTTTCAGTCAGCTCTTGTCTAACGCAACTTTAATCAGAAGAGTGGTTGAACACTTCATTTCATGGCGAGCTCGTTAAAATCTGTTCGTGCAGCCGTTTGAAGGTTTAGAGCCAACAGAGATGCTGCTGCTTGTGTTTTTCTGGAGCAAAGCGGATTAGTCAGTGTGTTCCAACAGGTGACTGACCAACATCGTGCAGAAGCACACATGCAAAAGTCATGGATGGACATTTTTGCTAACTCAGTGCACTGGAGACTAACTATAAGCCTTTGTGATTGATCTGTAGGAGATTTATAACAGACTAGATTCCCTACAGAATGGATTTTCTGCAGTCAACCATCAGCATTTTTATCTTTAAATAACTACTGGGTAGACAGCTCATTCCTATCAGCTCTGCATCGGAAACAGCTCAAACTGATGCTGCAAAAGCAGCCATATCACGTCCAAACAACACAGTCGCACACAGAATGTGAGCTTTAAAATCCAAGGCAAGGATGCAAACGGTAAGGCAGTACCTTCTGCTCACGCACAGCTTCATCCTGGAGGCAGGGAGATGAAAATCCTGCTGGCTGAGTCTCGCCGGGGCAGGAGAAAACCCCCCGTATGTGCTATCTGGATTGGTTTACCCAGCTCAGAGAAACCCCAACGCATGCACACACCAACACAGCTGCCGCCAACACCACGCCGCTCCAGCAGCTTCAGCAGCTGAGCCAAAAAGGAAAGGCAGAGGGAGTGAGGCAGATAGACTGTGCAGGAGTGGAAAGACAGAAAGGAAGAGTGGGAGGGAAGGAGCTTAAAGGAAGAAGACAGGGAACGCGGGGGCGTGATGATGGAGCGCTGAAAGATATGAGCGGAGCAGAGAGAGAGAGGGGAGAAGCTTACCTGATAGCGTCTATGTTGTTCATCTCCTCATCAGGCAGCTGAAGGAAATGGCAGCATGTTAGTGGAGGGGACGCATCAAACTGGCCCCAGGAGCTGCCAACTAGGACGCATCAAAGACACAAAGATTCAGCAGCCACACTCACTCTCTGTTTTTGTTTACACCCTCCCACAAACACACACCTCCCACGCTTCCTCATCTGGTTCCTCATCACTCCTGCTTGTGAGAGAAGTCAGCAGATTGCACCCGGACGTCTCCGGGGTGAGGAGAGAGCAATCATATGCTGCCAGACCCCCACTCCTTTCACCTCTCTTCCATTACGAGATCCCGGCAGCAGCCCAGGCCCCCTGGTCTAGGGCTGAAGTAGCAGAGTGAGGCCGAGAAGAGGCAGGGGGAACAGGTGGTTCAACCCGATGCCTCTTTCAAGGAAACAAAACAAACCTCCAACTGGCGTTTTTGCTAAACTAATCCAGTTTGGGTGCACAGGCCTGAAGAAGCATGGCCTTTTTGTTTCATTAGCTTGGAAGCAACAGATGAACAGAGATGATCTATTCTTCAGCTGAGGGAAACAAATCAGAGTACCGGGTTTTAACGCTGATGGAGGTGCGAGATGAAGTTCCTGTCTTGCACAACAGAAGGTCGAGCGGCTGTGGGGAACGTTTCGTCGCTGCGACCGCACAAGTACACAGACTTCTGTGAGGATATGAAAGTTTGCAGCGACGCAGATACTCACACCAACAGGCTTACAAGCCTGCCTCGCAGCCCCCCCCCCCCCCCCCCCCCCCCACGCCACCCACCTTATTTCCCAAGCAGTTGCTAAGGTGACGGCAAAGGCGGAATTTTAATAAGACAATAAATTAAGTCAACGTGACCGTCTCTTTCATTATTAAACGCGATGTGGTGCTGATTTCTACAGTCTGTCAGGTGTTTAGGGTAAAGCAGGAATGCCAGCAGGCTGGATATCAGACCCACAGATGTCCTGGGAACAATGTCTGAGCCTAGCAACACACTCCCGGGCTTACCAGGGAGTGCAGGGATGTGCGTTTTGAAACAAGGAAGCCAAAGCCGAATGGATCGTCATTTACCACTAGGGTGAATGTCGTGCTGAGACTGAAAATACTCTGACTTTTAATGCAGTAACCGCTGATTGAGCCTTCAGGCCTGTCCTTGTATAAACGGCACTCCGTGGAAACACCAGTTACTACCGAAGTACAGTTGTTTAAACCACTTCCTTGCTTCCAAACCCTTTTCAACGCGACTGCGTCTCCAGCCGAGGAGATGATGGATGTCACAAAATAAATGCGAGCGAGTGGGTTGAGTCAGTAAATGAGTGGATTGTTCACTTCAGATTGTTTTTGTGTGGAGGAGTTGGAGATGGGTTGGAATTATAATGAGTCTCCTGTTAGAGCCTGCTGGATGGTCAGCAGATTCCCTAAAGCAGGGCTACTAAATTCCGGACCTCTATGACGTTTTGGTTTTAACCCTGCTTCAACGAACCTGATTTATATTAGTAGGTGATTAACAGGCTTCTGCAGAGCCTGATGAGCTGCTGCAGGTGATTCAACCACTGAATCAAGTACCAGTATGTCGGAGCAGAGAAACCACTAAAACATGCTGGATACCGGCCCTCGAGGCCTGGAATTGAATAGCCCTGCCCTGAAGGGTTAAAGCAGACCTCTTGAACACAAACCTTTGGAGTTTTTTATCATGAAAAAAAGGAAATTTTTACATGTGGTGGGAAAAAAGTTGCAAACACTAGCATTTACGGACATGTGTTGCCAGCATGTGATAGACTAAATAATGTAACTGATACATCAAAACGGAGAAACTGCTGGGATTATAAAGGTAAACCAAAGATGAATTAAAAAATCAAACCATTATTATATATATTAAAAAATATATGTATTTTTGTATTGTATCAAATTCACATCAAACCCCTTCTTGCCCTAAAGCATCCAGAAGTAGTATCAGGATCAGTACCTTCATAAACCAGACCTTTACATGTCTACTGCCCTCTGGTGGAGAACCCACAGGAGGTAAGGGCTGCTTTTACGTCTTTATGAAAGAGATCCATGCTTTACTTTTTATTAGGCCCGAGCAGCGAAAGCGCTGCGAAGGCCTCTTGTTTTTGCTCTGATTATTATTAGGCCCGAGCAGCGAAGCGCTGCGAAGGCCTATTGTATCTGCTCCGTTTATTATTATTACGCTTTCTTTTTTCTTCCGCGTCTTTGGGTGGCCTTTAGGGGGTCTTAGCATATCCAAAAAGTCACCAAATTCTGGCCCAATATAGAAAGTGCGTGAAATTTACGTATTTCACTGGCGATGTGAAAGTTGATAAAAAAGTGGCTCAACAGTGCCCCCTAAAGAGTGAAAAATACCCCTCTCCATAAAGCTTAGTTTATCGTACAGTTATGAAATTTGGTATACTGGTACTACTCAACAGTCCGCACAGAAAAGCCTCTTGCAACCATGGTCAATATAAAACAGGAAGTCGGCCATTTTGGGTTGAAATGGCGATTTTTAGCCGTTTTGGCCATTTCTAGGGTCTATATTTGGTTGAACAGTTTCGTCATTTTTCGTACCATAGTCTCAAAAATAGTGTGCCATCGAACAGAAGCGATGGACGATTCAAATGAGAAAATAAAATTGACTTTTCGTAAATACTGAAGGGGCGGGGCCAGGCCTCAAAGTTCGAGCACTCGCCAAAAAAATTCAAATTGCTATAATTTCACAAATTAAAGAATTACAGTTAAAGTAACTTTCTATGGATAATCGTCATCGCCCCCCGAAGACAAATGAATGGTCGCTGGATGATGTCACACAAGCCCCGCCCCCTCAGGACTTAAAACGTCAAGTTTTACTGGGAAATTTTCCAAAATTCGCCCTGTCGAATAATCAGCCCGAATTTGTAGCAGGTAACTGAAGAGAAGTTGGCGTTGCTTGGCGTCACTTTATGGGTGTTTTCTGCAGAAGGCGGGGCTGTAGCGACGCAGCGAAGTCAGGCGTACCGCCGTGGCCATACATGTGCCTCCCATGTCGTCATTTCTATAGATACAGTCACGAAACGTCTTGTGAGTGATCCTAGTCCGGCCCCCCAGAAGATCTCATGTGAACATCAAATGGGCGTGGCCTATTTTCTGAAATAGCGCCCCCTAGGTCCATTAAAACTGTCAGCCCCAAGCCATGCTTTGACTGAGGAGTACGAAATTTGGTACACTAATGTGGGGTCTCAGGACCTACAAAAAAGTCTCTTTGAGCCAAGTGCAAAGTCGCACAGGAAGTCGGCCATTTTGGTCCAAGTACTCGATTTAGTGGTTTTCACACACGTTATTAGGAGAATGATGTCTCGTCGTCCTTTCCACCTATCACCTTCAAACTCCTGCTATATAATCTTAAGACATAGAGGAAAAAATTCAACCGTCGGATTTTATACAAGTATAAAGGTGTGGGCGTGGCTAAGCCTCAAACTTTGACCTTTCGCCATTACATTACTTGACTTAACAACTCCCATGTGCATGATCAGATCTATACCAAACTCTGTCTGTGTGATCATTGACCACATCTCAAGACAATGACAATGTGGACAGCTGACATCACCTATGCCCCGCCCCCTGACTACAGGAAGTCTATTTTTTTATGGTGAAATGCCCATATTTGTCCCCTCTACTTTAGTCAACATGACACTAAGGTCATGCACTGTCTTCATGATGTTGTAATGACCATTCAGATCTGATAGCTTTTCAGAAAGGGAAGGGCTTTGATGCCACGGCGAATTCTGGCGTGACGCCGTGACCTTACGTTTGACTGTAACTTCCACTAACAACCTCCGATCTGCCCGAGACTGAACATGGCAATCAACAATCATGCCCTTTATTCAACGAGGCACACACGGGTTGTGAACGTTGTGTAATGTCACCACAGCACCCCCTACACACCATTAAAACTGTAATAACTCCTACAGACGAGGTCGTAACTGCATCAAACTTGCTATGTGTACTCACACAATGGCACCCACCACAGTCCTGTGGTAAGTTGTTGATATTGCTTTAGCTCCTCCCCCTGACAGATATTAGGCCCTGAATAACACATGCATGATGCAATTCACACCAAACTGCACACAAATGACTGTCATCAACCTACAAACTTCTTCATGGAATAATTCTTAAATTTGGGACAGCGCCCCCTAGATACAAAAAACCTTTGTAACTTCTGCAAAAAAGCTCCAAACGACATCAAACATTGTGGGAGTCATCACACATCTGCAATCAACACATGTATGTGATCACTTGTTCAATTCAGTTTAACTCCACCCACTTACAGCTTTTTGTCTCTAGATGACCCATGCAACGTTTGATTGATTCCAAATTAACAGAAAACCATCTTTGATGACCAAAGATGACCTCTATGGCATTTACTTGTAAATGGTCACAACGCCCCCTAGATGGGTTCAAACTTTATTAACTTCTAAAGTCAAAGTCAGAATGACATTATACTTGGCTTGTGACATCACGTGACTGCACCAAACACATTGATGTGGTTGTTGGTTCAAATCCCTGTAGCTCCGCCCCTTTCAGCTCACTGGCTGTAGATAACACACACAACGTCCGTTTGATGCCAAAATAACAGAAAACTGTCTTTGTCAACCAAAGCTGACCTCAATGGGATTTTTCTGAAATTGATCACAGCACCCCCTAGATAACTTTAACTTTCGATAACTTATTAAATATGGGCAGAAAAGCACTAAAGTTGGTCTGTGTCATCACACCAACAGTGTGCTAAAGATAAAGTATGCCCTAGTGGTGAGACATGTAATATAATGGTAGGCTCGGAGGGGATGCTGATTCAGTGTGAGGTGTGGACGAGGTGACTGTTAGCTTTTCTTGGTGTCAGGGTGGTGGACGTTTCAGTCCGTGGACGTGCCCTGGTGCCCCGGGCTGCCGGCCAGGACGGAGCAGCGGGGAGCTGGGTTTGGAGAGCGTCGGGGATGGAGCGGAGGGGGTGCGGAAGGAGGGTGAGCATCTTCGCTGCGAGGGCCGAACGACGCTGCTTGCAGCTTTAATTAGGCCCGAGCAGCGAAGCGCTGCGAAGGCCTATTGTATCTGCTCCGTTTATTATTATTACGCTTTCTTTTTTCTTCCGCGTCTTTGGGTGGCCTTTAGGGGGTCTTAGCATATCCAAAAAGTCACCAAATTCTGGCCCAATATAGAAAGTGCGTGAAATTTACGTATTTCACTGGCGATGTGAAAGTTGATAAAAAAGTGGCTCAACAGTGCCCCCTAAAGAGTGAAAAATACCCCTCTCCATAAAGCTTAGTTT